GTGAAAAGATTCGTAAATTCCACTTACCGTGTCTTTCTAGTATGTGATCGAGATCTTTGAATCCTCTTTGCTTTACATGGACTTTGACTCCTAGTGCGAGCAGAAATGATTCGTCGATCACGAAGTATTTACTGCCACCTTTCAAGATCGGCTTGAAACTTTTTGGCCAGTTAATTTCTCCATCAGAAGATTCATCCATTGTCAAACTCAACACCCTGATTTTGCAACATAACTAACCACAAGAAATTGTAGATCGGCAGATCGCCTCAGCTGAATTTTGCCCTTGCGGCGTGGAACGCGAACGGATGTTTACAAATTGTGAATGAACTATTGTCAAGAAGCAACCAATTGCGTGTCGTGTCTTGCTTGTTGTCAGCAGTCACGCAAGCCGACCACCAATCACGCGGCGTTCGCTGATCGATCGATCCACAAAGTCGACTGAATCAAGCAAAACAGAGGTAATGTTTGTAACCAAAGAAACGAGAAGAGGAACAAAAGTAAAAAAGTCCCGAAATCGACTCTCAAGTCGCATTACAACACTTCAAGGGGGGTTTGTTTACGCGAGTCATCACGTGCATTGAAAACTCTACAACGTATTTTATTAATTTATTATACTCATTACTCGTACTTTTATTTTTTCCACTGGATAAAAATATCTTAGGAAGCAACAAAGCAAGTTCTCAATGATTTAAGAACCCTGTTTAACATCTATATGGTATATTTATACCGCTTGTTCTCTTAACTTCACATCGCAAATACCGTACTATGTTAAAATACGCGAGCTCCGTTTGGGGGCGCGCGGCGCATGCAATGTTTACTTCTACTTGAAAAGACATGTAAGCTGATAAGTGCTTGGGTTTGATCCGAGGTTGATGTCTTTGACATGTTGCCCAACACACCGGAATGTATAGCAATTATTAGACATCAATCAAGCAGATTCCCGGGAGAGTTTATTTCATCTGTTAACAAAAGAAAAATATCTCACCTACATCAAAGAAGTTGCGCTCTTCACGATCTTCGGAAGCATGCCGGCATGTCGGCAAACTCATCGGAATGAATAAGTAATGAGAAAGAACAATAGCCTGAATATATGAATACTTAACAACCTCAATTTTTGAGGTTCACGTTTAATCCGCTATGGAGTAGTCATGGAGTTGGATTAATTAAATGGGCCACTCTTTGGAAATTGATGGAACCACCATTGCTCAGTGAGATCAAAGAAATTGCTTGTAAAGAAGCCATTCCAAACCTGTTTGAGTTCTATGCCAAGCACATTTTTAGTCTTCCAGTTAACAATGTTCTTTCTGAAAGACTGTTCAACCTTTCTCAACTGTATCTTAATGATAGCATGTCAGAGTTATCAAAACAGGCCACAATCACATTTGTTGAAAACATTCTGCATCATGGAAAAACCAAAACCAGGACCACAGAAGCAGCACGTGAAGTTCACGAAGAAAGAATGAAAGAATATACCCAAATGCTCACTACAGACGTTTTGCAAGAGGCAAGAAAGAACTTGAACAAGATTAGAGAAAACTGCACACATGGACCACTTACTGCAAAGGATGTTTACCCTAGAGCTTGAGTAGAAAAGAAAGTAAACAATAACTTACCAGAAACGATTCAGTCACTATAAGCAGATGGTTACAAACCAAAAACTTCAATGGAAGGCTTCAACCAAGGGAACATCTGCACTGGAGGGACAGAGGTCATTCAACCAAACAGTAATTGAGGGAGTTACCAGTACACCTAATGGACAAGTTCCAAGACTCATGCAGCTAGCGGCACTAAAGGTGTGGAACTATGGGGAGGAGCTACCAATTTATGATCTACCAAGAGAATGCCAGTTGTGTCTACAAAATCTTCCAAATGTCTTCCAGCCTCCAACTACTCATCTTTCCACATCCCACATGTCTATACATGTTACACCGTTGTCTGCACATGAAGAATAGAGTAGTATGAGGGGTGGCTCAGTAATTTTTTAACTTTTTAGATTTGTACATATAAGAATTGACTTCACCAACCCACACCACATGAAATAAATATATCTCAGCATGTATGCATTTTTACACACACAGACACATCTAATAATTGATTAATGTTTCGACACAACATGTTAGAAGTTAACCTGGTAAAAGCAAGTTGTATATGACATGTTAGTAAAGTGAACAAGGCTTAAAATCTTAGTGTAAGTGCATGTAGCATGTTAGCTTTTTGGTTTACAATATTGCAACTGGTTTTACAGGGTAAAAGTAAAGTGCAAGGTGCCAAAGTTGAGACATGCATGTATAATCTTGTTGTATCAGATCTTGAATTAAATTAATTGATTACATTAAAAATAAACAGTAAGTAAACAAAGCTGTAATGTATCTGATTTTAAATTGTTATGCCTGACTGTAGCCTAGTAGAATATTGAACAAACACTGAATTGCTGTCAGTTAATTTCAGCAGTTAAAGACCATAATAATGTAATATTTAACTACATTTGGATTAAATAATTATACCGCTGCACAGGTATAACTTAATATATCACAATTAGTATGTAACTTTTAGTGAGAATTAAGAACATGACTTATGTATAAGTGTTCTTGTACAATAAGTGAATCATTTTGCACAGGAAGGGCAAAGTAAAGTGATGTAGCTACTGCTATGTTGCATATAGTTAGTGTACAAGAAATAACAGTAAATAAATTAGAGTGGATTATTAACACTAAATCTGTTCAAAATGTGCCAAGTTTATTATCCTGTATATCCTTATTCTGTGTAAAAGATAAGTAATACCAGTCTGACCCGTAATTAATCCTCTCTCCCCTTTAAACGTTTTATTATTACTATTAAATATATCTACATCAATGGAATATTTTTTCACATATACAGGCAACTTGTAATGACCAGTTCAAAAACCAAACTTCACATGGACCTATGCTAGTTACTGAATATGCAGTGTGGTCAAAAAAGAATCTGTTTTGGTCAATTCTCCACGTTCAAAGCGCCCAAAAGAAATGAGCATTAATTTGACAATCGATATCAGTCAAACACAATCGTAATCCCTAGTAAGTATCAACTAATACCCGAGAAGTGATTGATAAATTGTTCTTGGTTCCTGTTGACGATTAAACCGGAGTTCACTCTCGATCTCGAATGGGCGATATTGAAAGTAGGCTAATTGACCCTTTACCACCAACACACCCTGTTATAATCTAGTCACGTGCAGAATCATGTGATCAGTAATCGGATATCCCTGTTGTGCAATGTATGATTTCAGTTCTCTTCTTCGACCTCATTAAAAAGCATGTAGATCTACAATATTCGTGTCCTTGGTTTATTACATTGGCGACGAGGATAAACATGGCAACCTACGGGAACGTTGGGGAATTTAAGGAGTCGGAGGAATCGTGGACTCAATACGCGGAGAGACTCGAGCAGTACTTCGCCGCAAATGAAATTAAAGACGCGAAGAAACAAAGAGCTATCCTGCTAAGTGTTTGTGGAAGCAAAACGTACGGGTTAATTCGCGATTTGTTACAACCTCAGAAACCGGGCGATGTGGAGTTAAAAGAGATCTTGGAAAAGCTGGAAAACCACTTCTCGCAGGACTCAGAAGGCTTTCAGAGCATTGCAAGTTTGGAACAACGCTAGAAGACATGCTGCGGGATCGACTCGTCTGTGGAATCAGCGATGATCGCATTCAACGAAGATTGTTGGGCGAACGGGAGCTCACATTCGAAAAGGCGGTGGAAGTCGCCACAGCAACCGAAAGGGCTTCTAGGAAAGTAATGGATTTAGGCGGGAAGACGCCCAGCAGCGACAACAATGTCAACAAGGTCGAAGAAGAAATTGCACCTCCAAAGTTTCAGCCAAAACGAGAGTGCTATCGCTGCGGTGGAAACCACGATCCCTCGAGCTGCAAATACAAGAATGAAGTGTGTTACAAATGTCAAAAGAAAGGCCACATGGCAAAAAATGTAAAGGAAAGAAGAAACCACAAAAGCAAGGAAGACATGGGCGCCGGCCGGATGGTAAACAAAGAACGCATTTTGTCGAAGAAAGCGCTGATCAAGATGATGTCTATGCCATGTATCATTTGTCCAGCGATCGAAAGAAATCGCTCAAAGTGGATCTGGAACTTTGTGGACGGAAAAACACGATGGAAATCGACACAGGTGCGTCGAAGACGATATCAAATGAAGCAACGTACGGAAGATTGCGTGACGCATTGGGTCCACTTCAGACAACAAAAGCGGCTCTAAGCACGTACACAGGAGAAAGGATTCCGGTACTCGGAGCAGTCATGGTTCCAGTAGAATACGAAGGCAAGAAAAAGAATTTGGGCGCGCTAATTGTCGCAGGCAACGGACCAAACTTGCTTGGTCGAGACTGGATCGAACAAATCCGATTAGATTGGAGCACTATCTTCCACATGCACATGGCAAGCGAGATAAACCCCCCATCGGCTCTTCAAAGCGTACTTGCTAAATACCCCGATGTATTCATGGAGGGATTGGGCATCCTAAAAGGTGTAAAAGCGAAGATCTACGTTGATCAAGGCGCCGAACCCAAATATATCAAAGCAAGATCAGTGCCTTACGCATTGAAAACTAATGTCGAACTTGAACTCGAACGATTAGAGCGTGAAGGAATTATATCGCCGGTGGAATTTTCAGAATGGGCAGCACCCATTGTACCTGTGGCTAAGCCAAATGGGACTGTTAGGATCTGTGGCGATTATAAACTCACAGTCAATCAAGTATCCAAACTTGACAATTATCCAATACCGAAGATAGAAGATCTTTTGGCAACGCTGGGAGGTGGTGAGAAATTTACCAAGCTAGACATGTCGTCACATAGTCAGTGACAATGGTCCCAACTTCACAAGTGCAGAATTTGAGAATTTCCTCTCAAAAAACGGCGTCAAACACACCAAAGTCTTGCCATACCATCCAGCTTCGAATGGCCAGGCAGAGCGGGCAGTTAGAGCCTTCAAAGAAGGGGTAGAGAAAATGGAAGAGGGAACCAGGCAAGACAAGTTGTCACGTTTTCTGCTTAAATACAGAACAACGCCACACACGACCACAGGGGTTCCCCCAGCAGAGCTACTGATGAAAAGAAAGCTGAAAACTAAGCTTGATCTTATAGTTCCCAAAACTGCAAGTCTGGTGAGACAGAAGCAAGAACGTCAAAAAAAGACCCACGACCACCATGCCAAACACAGAGATTATGAAGCCAGTGATCCTGTGTTCATAAAAGACTTCAGTTCCCCCAAGTCCTGGCAGAAAGGAACTGTGGTGCAGACAACAGGCCCAGTCTCAGCCTTAGTTGAATTACCGGATGGTCGAGTTGTTCGACGACATCAGGACCATGTGCGGAAGGACCACAACCAAGACCCAACAACATCAAATCCTGAGATCTTAGTACCAGGAGTGTTCCCCTATTGCACAACAGACACAACGCAACCGAGTGGTCCAGCCGAACCGGTCGTGAGTTAGCCTGACACATAAGAGGCTAAACTATCACGCCCAGTCCGCAACCGTCGTTTGCCGGAACGTTTCAAGGACTATGAACTTTAGAAAAAAAAAAATTATGTGACATTACTCACGAACATTGATTGGCAATCGACGAGAATTGTTGCGTGACGTACATTGCGTGAAAAACATTAATGATTGGTTTCATTACACTTCAGTTCAGCATTGTTTACTTTTTGTGTGTGAATTTTTTTGTTTAAGTTTAGCAAAAGTCTTAAGGGGGAGGAATGTTATAGTCTAGTCACGTGCAGAACCATGTAATCAGTAATCGGATATCCCTGTTGTGCAATGTATGATTTCGGTTCTCTTCTTCGACCTCATTAAAAAGCATGTAGATCTACAATATTCGTGTCCTTGGTTTATTACACACCCCAAGATAGGGATCAAGATAACTTAATTTATATTCTTAGCTCGTGCATTGTGCGCTTGCTGTACTTTTGAGCTGCTTTGAGTACATTACATCAGTCGATATATTTCACTCCTCCATGGTATCTTGAGCGCGCGTCAAAAAAATGAAAATAACTTTCAAACGAACAACAATGGACTCCAAAACTCGGTTTACCTTGAGGATGCCTAAACTTGTTCGTTTCGAAATTCCAAATAATAAACACCTCGCGCAATGAACGACAAAATAGTACGAAAAATTAGAAATTCTACCTCTTAGTCGATGAAAAGGAAAAAAATAAAACGGTAGAATCTTCAACTTCGTCGCAGTTTTCCCGGTTTATGTGTTAAACTACCAGAGACTTCGTGTTTTGACAAGATATTCAACGGTTAAGTTCTGAGAGCGTTCAGGGGAGAAGTAAACACTGGACAGGGCCCATTCTGCGCATGTCTGAAATTTTCCTTAACTCACGGAAACTCACGTGCATACGCTGTTCTGTGAGGCATATAATTATCGCTTACTCGGCGAGCGCGTAGATAAGAAACCAGGGATTCAATTCTGTGAATATTTTTAGCTTTCCTTTCTCTGACTCGACGGCCAGCGCGGCATCTCCTGTAGGTCTATGATAATGGCGATGAACAAGGCCAGTGAGAAAATCGATGAAAGACGTCTGAATAGTGGGAACCACATATTCCAACAAGGCGGGTGTCACCGTTACACTTGGGAATAAATACAGGAATGGCTCCGACCTGTGATTGGATGATAAAAATAGTAAAGGTTAATAAGTTATATCTTAACTCTTTTTAACCGCGTGTCTCGAATCGGAAAGAATGAAATATCAATGTGAAAACACCGATGAGTCAAATGAGAAATGGCTACTTACATAACGAAGAGAAGGCAGAGTCTATCTTGTTCAGCGAGGTCGTTCAGCGATATTCCGGCGATGAAAAAGTCATCCGCTGACAAGCTCCGCTGACAAAACTCATTTAGTCAGTTTAGGCGGACGACCAGAGACTGGAGCCATTCGTCTATTTCACCGCAGACAGGAATGGCTCCAACTCATGCGTATATCACTTTTTTTTCGCTCTGGCTAAATAATTCATACACTGAGATAAAAACTGAAAGAGCGATTTATTAGGTTCTTCTCATGTTGAAGTCTACAGTGCTTGCAAATGAAGCCCTCTTTTATTACTACAGGGCCATGTACTTTCTAAGTTTTAAAAATAAGGCAGCAACTGCATGTCACGTTGTGAAAATAATCACGCAATGTTGCGTGACGCTGCGACCGATGTTTTAAATTTACAGTATGCTCTGCTGGAGAAATATGGCTTGGCCGCAATCGAGGGAGTTTTTTTTCGTGGAAAACTGATTTTCTAGGTTATTGTTCACATGAAGGACAAATCCATTCATCGGGCTCTTCATCTGTTTTTGCACAGCACCTAAAAGAAAGAAAGTCGCGAATTAATATTACTTGGTAATTTCTAACAATTCCACTTGACCTAAAAAGGAGAAAACAAAACAAACCAAAAAAACGTCTTATCAGTCAAACCAGTGGCAGTAGCTCTCGCACTGAATCATGTCGAAGTACCTTGACTCTTTGCAGTGATGGTACAACCAATCTTCGAACAGATTTCGGCTTTAACAAGAAAGAGTAAAATGATTTTATAAAACATGCTCTAAAATTAAAGAAGGCTGTTCATCACGTGACGCTGTATTGGAACGAGTATATCTCGTTTGCTGTTGTATCACACTACTGTTTTAGACAAGGTATTTATACCACTTACATTTGAGAAAGAATGAGTATAACATGAACCACATTTTCTACAAAACACGAGCCATCCTAACCTAATTTGCCAACTGCTTTCTAAGCATCATCTGTAAAGAACCGCTTCAATTTTTCGAATTTGAAAATTTTTAGCTAAAACCGTGGCTCCCGAAAATATTTCTCACCTTGCCTAAAAAATTTAAAAAAGGAATTTTCAAATTTTTCACAACTTTGCCTATTCCTGCTCGTAGGTCCAGCCAAGCCCTTATGGTCATTGGCCCCCGCAATAGCCGCTAACAATGGCTTATAAATATAGGCGTTTAGTGTCAACTTGTAAAACTCCCTAAAGAAGATTACGGCAGTTACACGAAACGCGTCAAAGAAGAAAGAAGTTTTACAACAACTGTTCGCACAGCGCTGCTCACTAGCTTAGTTTTAAATTTTTAAATTTTTAAATTTTTTTTTAATTGTTTAAAAAATTATTAAAAAATTTTTGAAAAAAATTATTAAACGTTTGAGTCGGAGCTAGTCCTGTCAGCGGTGAAATACAGGAATGGCTCCAGTCTCTGGTCGTCCGCCTGAACTGACTAAATGAGTGTAGTCAGAGGAGCTAGTCTGCAGATGACTTTTTCATCGCTAAACGACCTCGCTGAACAAGAAAGGCTGCCTTCCCTTCGCTACGTAAGTAATCATTTCTTGTTTGACACATCGGTGTTTTCACTCGCATTGATATTTCATTGTTCCGCTTTGAGACACGCGGTTAACAATACTCACGAGCAAGGAGTTAAGATATAACTTATTACCTTTTACTATTTTTATCATCCAATCACAGGTCGGAGCCATTCCTGTATTAGTCGCTTGTACCATTATTCGTAGACAATAGTTTATTACCTGGATACGAGACCAGGCCAGAAACTGTAGGTGGCAGGTTGGCAAATAAATCGGTTTCTTTTGCAAGGGAACAGGATTTAGCTCAACATCTATGTGGACAGTTAAATATTTTGGTAAAACCAAACAGGTCGGACCATGTTTGTACCAAACTGAAATAGGCCGCCTCGGAGACTTTAGTTCTTGGTTATTCTTGATAAAAGATGTCTTTGCGTTAAACTTGGTCAATATTGGGTAGCAGAGGCCTTTAGGTTGCCATACCATATAAAATTGTAAGATATAAAACAAGTTCCAAAGCGAAATTAAGCGGCAAGTACGAACATAAACGGCTGCCATCTTGATCGGCGCTTACAATGAATGTCAAAATGACGGAAGTATAAACAAGACAATGAAGCTGACGCCATTCATTTCGAATAACACATGAATATGAAGAAAACGGGACCAGTTTTAACTCATGAGACAAAGACCACGCATTTTTTTGAGGTAAATGAATTGTTTAGGCCGAAAGCTAAACAAATAAACAATGAACTGACAGTGGTCAGGGATTTGAGGGCCATGTGATAAATAGGTTTTACCGAAGTTTATCCTTTAGTTGGCACTTCCAGACACATAACCACATACCATGCACAGCAGACTTGGTGTGCAAAAAGGCCAAAGACAGTTCTGAGGCATGACTTGGAAAATCCACCTCAACCTTCCGAAAACAAATTCGCTGAAGGTTGTAGCAAGAACAACTCAATCCTGAAGCTGGAACATATATTTTTTAAAGCCTTATGTCCTATGTGAATACAAAGAGAAAGAAAAGACGATTTTATTTATAGTGATTTGAAGCTCAAATTGTAAACTACCTTCTATTATCGTAACGAATATCTCACGATCGTCTCATGTGCACATCGTGATCGTCAGTAAATCAATCTCAAACTTTAAGTTTTCGTCTTATTTTCGCGTCTTGTTCGCACTTTGATCATTAAAATATCCTCATCCGAAGAGCCAGCAAACGTCACGAGTACCCGCAGAGTTCGAAATGGCGGTAAACTTATCCTACTCTTTCATCCCTTTCCAAAAACATGACAAAAAGGTGTCGATCGCCCAGTTTAAAACCCGCGGAAGCGCGCTGAAAATATCATGACGGTGCCGAACGCGCCGAACAAATCTTATGAGCGCATGCGCAACGGAATGCCCCTCTGCTATGCTATGCATAACTTAAGTTATGGCACTAAAGGTTATGCAATGCGAGAGTTTAGTGCCAATTAAGAAGTCACGATTGTCATAACTTTGGCCGCGAGATTATGTTGACATGTTTACCGTTGTACTTATGTCCCCTTATTGAAGATAAGTCCTCTGACGTAATGCGATACAGTGGTCACTGTAACAGCTAACCGCATATTTCATACTGTCACAGAGCACTCTGTTGTTATCCCGCAGAGCGCTTCGAGCTGATCTGAAAAACAATGATCTTTGAAAACCAAACTCCTCACGTGAAACATACGAGTCCTACGTCACATGAAAGTCGTGCTCGCTTTCCCTCCTATCTTTCAATTACCTAAACGAAAACCACCGACCGAGACACAGGGGTGAATAATCAGCAACCACAGTTCGTCGGTCTATTTTATCCTAGGATCTCCTCAAAGTCTGTTGCGTTTAGATAAAACCATTCCTCCTGTAATCGTAGACGAATGGACTTTCATGTTGAAGATCGGATGACGCTGGTAAAGATAAAACACATGGGTTCCTGAACCATGGATTGTCAATATATACAATGTATTTGTTGTTGTTGTTGTTGTTTTGTGTTCTTCTTTTAGCACTGTTTCTAAATCACTGTAGGACATTTCGCTCTTGTGGGTAGATTTATCATAATTTACCCTGTTTATGGCAAATTCACACAGTGATTAAATGGAAAATCGGGGCAAAGATGGCTATGGCAAGTCAGAAGGATACAATCCACTTAAAGGATGAATTTCACTGAATTTACCCCGTTTTTCTATAGAATTCACTGATTAAGTGGAAAATCAGAGTAAAGATGGCTTCGGCAAGTCAATGGGATATATTCCACTTAAAGGATGAATTTCATAGCATTTACCCGGTTTGAAATTCTCAAAATTCGAGCGAGGAAATCTTTACGATCTTCTTACACCTTTGCATTGCTTCTCTCCTTTAGTTAGGAAGTGACACGCAGAAGATCACGACATACTTTGATTGGAAGAAATAAAACCGCATTCTACTGGTTATTAGGTGTGAGGACATAACTACAACGGAAGACACAACTACAACGCTACAGACATACGAAGTTCTGTTTTTTGGAGCCTGGGAATTACTCGGCCCAGGTTATTCTGGATTTCACGCTTTGCGATGGTTTTTAAGGATCCACCGGAGGATTGGTACACATGAGGTTCTCTTTTCACACGTAACTTTAGCATAACAACCAAGATAAGTAGAGTGTTTTGCTAGTTTTGAAAAAATCGAGGCAAAGCAGTTGTTCTCCAGCAAGGCTAATATGTGGAAATTTCGCTCTCAAGGTCTTGCCGTTCTTTGAATGAATGAAATAATAAAATCACTTCCACGTCTTTTTCTCTTTTTTTCTTAAGGTGACATTCAAGGCCATAAGCTGGAGACTGGTATCCTTGGAGATATTGACCATGATTTTATTAAAGCACCGCTTCAAAGTGGAAAGCCGATCGAGTTTTACGTCGAAGAGTGCAATAAAACAAAAGGTAATGATATGAATGAGTTTTACCAAGAAAATAATTTGCTTACTGTAACTTTTTTTATACAACGTAAACGCAATATTTTCAGAACTGAAATAATCATTAATCCGAACATCAGTATGCATATTCTTCATATTATTCTCACACATTTTCTAAGGTGCTGACAAGGAGAATTTGTTTAACAATCAAGAGCTGCGTTAGTTGGTGATTATTTCCTCTAACATTAGTATGCATATTCTCCACACTATTCTCCATACAGTCCAATTATAAGCCTGACGCCCATACTTTCCCACTAGAGCTCAAATCGGGCTGGTGATTGCCAATCATGTTCAAGAATTTTGTAATGGTTTTGATTAGCCAATGTAGATTTAAATTAGAAACAAATTATCAAATTTTGTCAAGGTATTTTTGTCAGCCAATCTCTCTGTTGGTAAGATTTTTTTAATTAATTAACGTTTCCATCAAAGATTTTTGTTCTTTTCATATTCTTTTGAAGTTTTATCTCTTGGTTTTATACAACATTAAAAGGAAAGACGCGAGCGCTCATTGTGGATCTTTGCAGGTCTCCTGGAAAGGAAGCGATGATAATGGGAGGGAATCAAAGCGTTTTCTTTTTTAACGTCCGTATACATTACTCACTATCGCTGAACTTTACAGCTTACCAAATGCTGATCGATAGCATTATCGACATACTAAGGAGGTCCACTGGTAATGAGAATGAAAACGCGTTGAGTAGCCGGGCACTTTCTATTTGGTGAAATAACGCGGCTATTGCGCGGAGCGTTTTGACTCTTTCCTGCAAGTGAACTATACCGAAAGGAGATTCTATACCAATAAAGTAATAATACAAGTTGAAATATTATATTCCTTCATCGCAAACATGATCAATTCTCTTTTGCTGACCAGTGAAAGGACGTATTAGGACGCGCGCGGGTCAAGCAAATGTACTGAGAAACACTCATCAGAAAACTTTGTAACGTACGGAGACCAGTCTTCGCAATCTTCATTTATCCAGGGGGGGGCGACTTGATGGGGATCAGTAGTCGTCAACATAGTATAAAAGGGGAGGGGTGTACCACAGAAAATTGATTGTCAATTAAGTGACGATAAGAATATTATAAAACCCGTCTGGGGGATATCAGGTAAATTTTTACCGCGACACCGTGACCAAAATCTTCCGAACTCCTCCCCCACTCACCCCAGGTTGTATATAATGACCGGTCTCTAAACTGGGGATACGCATTCAAGACGACTGCGTCAGTGAACGGTTTGGCATGTAAAACGATGGATGGTTGGCATGTGCACCCCAATTTTTTTTTTCCATTTGTTTCAATTCCGTCTTCCAGAGGACTTTGTGATAGAATGCTAACTGTCACTTGACATCAAAAACTTTGTCATAACAACTGAAAAAATCATGGGACTGAGGATTGCGACAATGTCTGTTACGTAAACAAACTATTAATGTTTCAAATTTGTTTATAACATTTTGCCTAATTTGTCTCATCTCTTCCTTGCTTGCCTACTTTGTCTACGATTCAGAGGAATCAGCTGTTCCATACTTATGCTACAGACGCTGTGTAAGGCTGGAATCCCTGTTCTTGATATTTACCCGTTGACCACTGCTTGGCCTGAAGGCACCCGTGATTCCATGCACTACATTGATAAACCATTGGAGCCTGCAGTTAGAGCTTTGGAGCGATTTCTTACTGAAGTATCACTGAGATAACGGAGTTCTTCAGTGATGCCTTACAGACCGTCAGAAAGAGAGGGTCATACTGTTACCTTCTATAAGAGAGGATCACTGCTTTAGTTAAGCCATAACTCTCTTGTTAAGATGTTTCTTTGCCTTTTGATTAATACAAATACATTACGTTTTTATCAACTCAAAGGGAGTTTTCCCACAGTTGCACAATAGCTTCAGGATCTTTCCTCGCATTCAAGTCATCTTAGTCCAATAATAGTCATCATCTTATGATCTGTAGGAGTACAGAGGCATTCAGCGTAGATGAAGTTCCCATCAACTCTTTTTTACTTCTTTATATATAAAACAAATAGACTCTATGTTACCATGGGTCTTAAAAGTAATGGATCACAGAATATGTCAAAATGTGGTTAGAACTTCTGTGACATACTCAGTTGTGCCTCATGTGCTACTTTTTTGTTTTCACCACATTTAGACGTCATGTGTGATCTACATGCATTACTGAACACCTGCATGGAACATAGATCTTGTTAGTGAAGGGGTTAACATGTGGTTAACATGCCATGAATTAGTTTTTGATCATGTTGTCATGATCTGTAGGAGAGAGTTGATCCTGAAAAAAATGGTTCAGCACTGGTGTCCAGACTAGCACAACAGTTAAGGCCCAGGTATCATTTCACTGGTCATGAGGGAGTCTATTACGAGAGACCTCCATACAGGTGAGAGAAGGGTATTTAACAAGCACATAAGTGATAACCCTGTGTGACATGTCAAATGAAAACCTTTTTCCATCAACCTAAACTCAATAACGTGTAATACGCTTCTACCCGTACTCTGCTGAAAATGGAAATGGCTAAAAAGGGGGTTTGGCTTGAACCCCTCTAACTAGAAATTCCGGCTTTTTCCTCGAACCTTTCTTTGAAAAAAAAGTTAAAGTGTAAGCTTCATTTGTATTCCATGGTTGATTTTCTAATGATCCCTTTTGGGTTGGGCAGAGACACACTGTATTTTCTCCGACTGGGCGTAATGCTTAGCCGTCTGAAGTCTCCTTCGCATCCGTGGTTTGCTCTCGTCAGGCGACGCGTACTCTTCCTCAAGAAAGAAGGAGTTGCAGTGGTGGATCTAGGGGAAGGGTTGGGGGCATCTTTATTTCCCTTCTCCCCCCCACCAAACTTGTGGTTATTTTTACCACTTGCCTGAAACCAAAATATTCTAACAACAGTATATGGTACATTTCTACTCAACTTGAAGTATTTAAAGTTATCTTCTTTTGAAATAACTCTCCGCTTATTTAGGCTTTTTCGATCCTTTTACTTTCTTAACATTATTGCGAAGGACAAATAAGTTAGATCGATTTTCCGAAAGTATACCTTTGACAACTTTTTAAAATTAAAAACTGTGTAGATTTTTCGTGATTTACTGAAAACGTTATTTTTTTTTGTAGGAATCATCGGGTGTTGAGAGAATCCGCACAGCACGTGACACGTTTTATTGCCCTTGCCCAAGCTGGTAATCCACACAAGAAAAAGGTACATGAAAATACTTAATCATTTCTTTAATCACCTTTGATAGTTCAAGTGTTCATGTAGTTCAAGTAACAATTTAAAAAAACAAACAAGCAAACAAATAGACAAACAGACAGACTTCTATTCTGTGAGCACCTCCATATGACTCCCTCTATACAAAGCACCCCACCACCCCCCTCCCCCCCTCTTCTTCCCCCTCCCTGTTTAAAAAAAATTATAAAGTGATATATCGTTTTATTGTTATTTATTTTGGGCAAGGTAGTATTGGGGTACGAAATTTACTTTCACTTAAAGATTTGTACCAATTTTGAACAACACGGATTTTCAGCCAAAGAAATGCATGCTGTTTACGGTATTCACTATATCTGGGTGTCAATTCTGTTCACTCTGCTCTCTTATTCCTTGCAGTACATGTACGCGTTCAATATCGTGCCCTTGGTATCCATGGATAAAAACGAACTTGTCAAACAGCCACCAGATGTCACGGAGTGTCCTTATAACAGGTTAAGTGGCAGCAATGTGAACACAGCTGACCAAAATACAAATCTACAGTCTCAGGTGACCTCTCAAACCTTACTGGATAATTAAGTAAAAGTAAGACTGTAATGCGTAAAATCCTCAGGGACTTGTCACATTTAGTCGTTGCATATTCTAGTAATGAAGTACGGCAGTGTGCGTTAACACAATGTAATAAAAAAATTAATGTCAATATTTTTACCTGCGGATGAAAAACAGGTGAGGAGGCGAGCTGCAATAACAGAAATAATGATAAATTGAAACGAAGCCAGAAAGCACAGGTTCCAGTCCTTAACGGGAACGAGGAATTCACCAAAATTTTCCTAGCTTTCATCATGAATAACAGTTCAGAAACGTCTAAGTGTATTTTGGTAAATTTCACCGTAGATTATTGGCTCACAGACTCTCAAAAGATATCTTTTTGTATTTTTTTAATACAAAAAGACTTAAGTCTAAATGGTGTCTACTTGTTTTATTGCAGGCCAGTGCCACAGGTCAGAACTTCTTTTTTGATATGAGTAACACAGGGAAGTCACAGGGACCTGGACAAAAACGACGAAGGGATCATGGTATCTGAAAATATATATAATCTGCTCTAAATCACAAGCTGGCCTTTTAGATTAACAGATATCTCTGCTAAGCTCAGTTTTGTGAAGCACGAGACACTTAGGAGTCTTCAACTTTTCTATCCCACCCCTCCCCCCTCCCCCCTCCCCCAGGTTTCGTTGACAGATCGTTGGAACTGACTTGTATCACCAGCACCATATCCCCGCAACCCGCAAGGGCTCGAAGCCGTACTGCTCAAATGCTGAGCATTGGACAACTCGCTTCCCCCGTACTTTTTGTTTGTAGCTCAGTAAATTCCCTTTTAGTCAATTGGAATGCAACTTCTTAACTAATTCTCGAACCATTTTTCCGCTAACCTAGCTTGTAATTTGATCTTACATAAGGAATTCCGATAGCTTACAGTTTCGATTTGTCAAATTTTCCAGTCATTTACCCCAGTCTCGTAAATTTTTACAGGTGGCGAAGAAGGCGGTTCCAATAAACAGCCAAGACAACGTAAAGGACCACGTAAGTATGATCCCTTTGATTATTGCGATGTAGGAAAGAACATGCTGTATTGGAGCAATACACGACTTAAGCTTTTTCTAAACGCAAGGGGGCTGTTAGATTTCTAGACAGTTGCGCAGACCCAAGGCGCAGTCGGGGATTGGTTTCGAGAATTCTCCCAAACTCCCCCCATTCTCTTATTCCCCCCATCTCCATATCATATTCACTTTTATAGGACACAATTTTTTATCTATTTGCACGAGATTTTTGGGTCCGCGTCGCATGGCTCATTTTGGCTTCTTTCCGTCCTCGCAGTCTTGAGGTCAGATTGATCTAAGTGCTTTGAACTTCTCCTGGCTTTGGATTTGAACGCTTGGCCATATTTACTTTTTTTTCCTTTAGCTCCCTTAAAAGGTTCCTGTTGGTTCTGCCTGGGAAGTCCTGAGGTCGAGAAACATTTGGTTGTCAGCGTGGGAGACGCTGTAAGTATGTTTCCGCTCAGAAGTCTCACCAGAATCTCTGACGCGACAAATTTTGAATAACGTGCAAGAAAAGTCCGTTCAAAGGCGAAACTTGGAAAACTTACTTACGAGACAAAATGTTTGTCAAAGTGCTGTGGTTCTATAACGTAAAACAACGGGAAAGCGCTTCAATAGACGTTAGATATGATTTTAGACCATGACCAACATAAGTACCTCCCCCAACAAAATGAATTCAACTTTTGATATGATTCTCCATTTGTCATCAGTCGTACGTGGCGTTGGCTAAAGGAGGTCTGGTAACTGATCATGTATTGATCTGTCCCATCGCGCATTTCGAATCAACAGTTAAATTGACAGAGGTAGGAAAGACCTTTTGACTTCTATTTCCAAACCACGATTTAGATATAGCAACGCATGAAAGGCTGTTGAAATTTCAAGTATTATGAGCTAAAAGAAATTACTCAACGAAAAAAGGTGGTGCGGCCTTTTTTAATTTCTAACGTTTTCGATAACGTAGCTTTCGAGAAAAAGATTGAGCAATCAGATATTAAGTTTCCATGAGGACTTGTCCCTAAGGTTACGCCTCCCAAAAAGCTTAGATATTTAGCTGAAAAGGCTGTAGCTAATCGTGAGTCGCAAATTTCGTCAACAAGGACAACCTATTCGTGATTGAGTATCTACGGAACACCGAAGCAGCAAGCGATTTACATCCCACAAACTACGACGTTAACGCTCCTCCCGCCCTGCCCCCCCTTCCAATACACACTTTCTTACACAAACACAGGTTCTAAGTTCTAATACCTGTAAACGGAAAAAAAAAACCCAGCTGATTATCATCGTTTTTTTTTTTTTTATTTTGTCTATTAACGCCTAATGCTTAGATTTTCCTTTTCTATAGGTTTAGATTAACTGACAACAATCCTAGTATGCGAATTAAGTTTCCCGCTCTTGTTCTCCCGTCATGGAACCTTTTTCACCCCCTGTGATTAAGTCTTTATGTCGATTTACACAACAGTTATCATAAGGTTAGGAATTAAATAAACCGGTTATAAGTCCTTCACGGTCCTTCATTTTTGTGGGGGTGGGTGTGGGGGTTTATAGAGAGCTCTCCTCCCTTTTTCCATCATATACCCTTTACTGAACTATGACTTAATGGTACAGCGTCGGTAAAGTAACGGTTCGACGCTGTACTGTAATATTGCAGTTCAACACTGAGTGTGATAAAACTGATAGTAGCCTTAAGTCAAAGTTACTTTTTTGTTTTATTACAGGACGTTCTCATGGAAATTGAAAAATATCCTTTATAGAGCGTGTTGGGAAAGAATCTATAGTAGTTGTGATCTTTGAATGTCCTGTGTGAGAGAGTGTTCGAATTCTTTAACACTAAAGCAGGTACAAGAGAGCGCTTCGAAAAATGTACCACAAAGAAGGCAAATCCTGTGTTATTTTTGAAAGGAATTATTACACACAGCACCTTCAACTTCAGGTAAAACTAGTAATCATCCTCGTAGTAACAAAAAGAAAAACACGAAAGGTAACCTGTAAATCATAAAAAGAAAAAAAAGAAAATGAGAAAAAAAAAAAGCTTGTGTCAGAAGTGGGATTCGAACCCACGCCTCCATTTGGAGACCAGAAGACCCGGCCCAGTTGGCACTGGGAAGGAGATTATCCTTGAGTCTGGCGCCTTAGACCGCTCGGCCATCCTGACATTCGCTAATTTGTTATCTATAGGTTATACCAGTGCCTCCCACAGATGTTGAGGAGTTAAAAGACATTTTTAGAGAACACGGAGATTCCAATTCTCTTGCAATGAGGGACGTGCCTGCCAATACAGAGCTTAGTCAGGTGATGTGTTTATTGTTTGATAATTTACAGGCTCTTTTACGAGGAGCTACAGGGCACAGGTCAGAACCCCAAAAATGACTTGGGAGCCAGCAAAGGAATAGGAAGAGCACCGGAAACAGGTGCAACATTAAAGTAACATGAGCAACAATAACAACAAAAATAACAACAATAATGGTAATAATAACGATAATTATGATAATCTATGAAAATGATAACTTGAACGACATCAGCAACAACAAAAACAGCTGCAATGAAATTATGATGATGATAATGCCCCGATCAATTCGAACTTTCAAACCTCCCCTCCCTCCCTTCGGCAACCCACGGGCATTTGACTGTCGTCTGTGCCTTGGGTGTGGGGAATTAAACCTTGCCTGGGTGGGATGGAGAATTTTGTGAACTAGCGGAGTACACAGTGCACGACAACAAAAATACAAGTTACTGTAACAATAATTCGAAAACTTAACAGATAAAAAGTTAACCACTGTTTAATGAGACTTATGTGAAATCCTCATAGAAAAGCTTCAGGATTAGGAACTGCTCAAAAGAAGCTCGAAATTGATGTTTTGACGGGATTCGAGCTCATGCCTCCCAGTGTCTGTTTGAGTACGAATATCAACTTAGCTTCAAAGCCACATCATGAGTGTGAGCGACAGATTGTGCTAGTGTTATTTACTTTTCCGGATTGAGAGCGAGAATTTGGCGCTATGTCAATATACCACCCGCCAAATCAGAAGCAGAAAGGTCGGTTTTTAGTACACGATGTGTCGGCATTGTGAGGTAAAGTTACATATGAATCCTTATGGCGGTGCATGGGTGAACGGCAGCTACTTCAAAATCGAACGTAAGATGTTATCAACCCTTTGACCCCTGAAAGTGACCAGCATCTTATTTCTCCTCACAATATCACCCCTGAATCAAACTTTAAGGTCATGAGAATAAAGGAAATGATCACCAACTAATGAACCTCTTGATTGTTAAACAAATTCTCTTTGTCAGCACCTTAGGCAATATATGAAGAGCAGTGTAGAGAAAATGTGTACGGATCTTTGGGTGCAAAGGGTTCACAACTGACGAGTCTTGTGGGCTCGTTTTATTTTTTAGTTGGCTTTGTCGCCGATCAATTTGTTTGTATTGCTGTTTTTTGTAAGTTCTTTAATTTTGTGTTTACTTATTTTGTTGCAGATCGTACCAGTTGGAGCGCCCTATTTTGTGGTAGAATTCGACAACGAAGAGAAATTGCTTCACAGAGTATCTTTGAAGATGCCTCTACAGTTTGGAAGGTAGCTTTATCATACAATATCTCAGTAATTAATTCCTACGTTCGATGTAAGCATCAGGGACATAATCTTTGAGAAGGTTACTAGAGGTTTTCAGACCTGTGTAAAGTGTGATATACAATATTAATTAGCAATGCCCTGCCTACTCTCTACAAAAACTGTTTTGTGCTGACCAAGAGAATTTGTTTAACAATCAAAGCTTGTTTGGTTGGCAATCATTTCCTTTCTTTTCATGATCTTCATAAATAATTCAAAAGTATTACTGTAAGAAGAAATTAAATACTGGTCTTTCTTAGGGTTCATTAATGGGTTTAATAAATGGAAAGCATAAAACCATCATAATCGTATCGACTGTGGCTTTTTAGAGGGAAATTTTTTATAAATTCTGACAGTGTTGTTTGGCTTTATCTCCGTCTCTTGTTTGTTAAATATAGGACAATTTTCTTTGGATTGTCGAAGACAAAATTAGCGTGCGTTTGTTTTCTTTACTACGCCCTTGGATTGGTGTAGAACCTATTGATCTGATGTGTCTTTCGTTCCTTGAACAGGGAAGTTGCCGCCAGTCCCGCTCTTCTCAACATGCCCGATAGAGTGGACTGGAAAGCTTGTAAAGTTTCAAAGGACGAGGAGACAAGGATGGCAGCCGTCTTTAGAAAGAAATTCCAACCTTACGATTTTAACTCGGAATAGGCAGAAGATAAAATCGAAAAAAGAATTGCTGATGAGGCAGGGCATGCTTCCATACAATCCAGACCCAAACAATCCAGACCCAAACATTAGGGTTTCCAGGAAATGCTTTACAAAGAAACGACGGATTTACGATGTTCGAGACTACAAGCTGTACGGCAGAGTAATCTAGTATTATTAACTGAGTTGATAACGTAAATTGGCCACCGTAAAGAAACGTCAGATTTAAAACTCTTTACGGTGGTCAATTTACGTTATCAACGCAGTTAATTATACTAAATTACCTTGTTATACCCTCCCACCGACGTTGCACCACAGTTTCTTTAGAAACCTATTCCCTTTATACAAACTGTATGGTCAGATAACTGTAGAGATGATGGTAAATTCCCGATAGTTAGATCGCGATAATTTATGTTTATATGAAATGGACGAAATATTTCAAGAGATAAGTCGTCATTATCTTTAAAACAGAAAAAAAAAAACAATAACGCTTCGTGACCGGTCTTCTTTATAATTTGATAAAATAAATGATCAGATTCTTTTCATGAAACGAACTACCCGCTAAAATGTACCTCGCCTCTAACCTGTGGTAGTAAGGCCCTACAAGTGTTCAGGAGACAAGGCCGTGAATCCTGTTGAGCCTTGGATCTTTTCAGGTGTCTTTTCATTAATTTCGGTAAATACAGCCCACCCGTGAGGATATTTTCTCTCCTTGCTGTTGTTCTTTCCATGCAGTTTGGAACCAGTAGGTCTATAATGACAAATGACAGCGAGCATATCAAGAGAGGCGGATTCGGCCCTGGTGACTTCATTCGGCGACTAAAGGATAAATATTATTTTCCTGTTTGTCTGTTTTTGTTGTTGTTGTTCGGTTGTTGATATTTTGTTTAATATTAGAGTAGAAGAAGCATTAAAAATAAGGTAAGACAGATGAATTTGATTTTGGTCGTCATTTTGGGATTGGTATCTAGTAAAATTGACTTCCTAAGCGGTCAGTTTTCTTTAAGAATTGCGCTAACACCGGGCCCACGCTACGAGCCGCTAACCAGTGATCTGGTAGATCCTCTGAAATTCACAACAGACGAAATGGCGGTTCGCCGGGAAGTGAATCTTTTTCTTTTCCAAAAACCCTTTTCACTCACGGCAGGATATGTTTTTTTTTTTTCTTTTTCAATCAGGAAATTAATAGTTCGTGCGCCTTTGGGGTCTAGCTTTACTTTGGTTTCAAACCAAACGCTTTTTCTTCATTTTAATGTTTCGTGATGAGAGATTGACGTTAAATCTGCATACAAAAACCAAAGCAATCAAATGCGAGCGCAAAAAAATAGGATTTTTTCGTTTAGGGTTACCGCGAAAAGGTCTCTAAGGAGATTGCGTCTTATGGGAAATTTGACCCCGATGATTTTTCGACTTTTTGAAGATAGTATTTTTTTAAATAACCCGCGCACGTTTTGAGATTTACTCTAAATTTTATGAAAGTGTTGACCTGTTAGGGTTTGGAGTATCGCCGCACATGAAAAGAAATTTGTCAATATCAATAAAGAATAACTGACAACAGTCATGGTACTTATGAATTATTGTCAGACAGGCAACAACGCGCGCGCACAATAACCGAATGTAAAAATAGCTCGGGAGGATAGCACCTAGGATTTTTTCGGTCAAGCTGTTCACTGCGAAAAGGTCGCTAAGGGGTTTACGTCTTACGGGAAATTTGTCACCGATAATTTATTTCACCTTTTTAAAAGTAGTATTTTCCTCATTAACCCGCGCACGTTTTGAGATTAACTTTAAATTTTCTGATAGTGTTGACGTGTTAGGGTTTGAATTATCACAGCACATGAAAGAAGTTTGTCAATATTGATTAAGATTAACTAACAACAGTCTTAGCACAAATGAATTATTGTCAGACAGGCAACAACGCGCAGCAACCGAATGTAAAAATAGCACGGAAGAGCATTGAGGAAAAGCAGCACTGCAAAAGATTGGCGCTGTCCAGGTGAGAAATTCCAAGAAAAAATGATTGAAGGAATCATATTCCAAGTTTTTGTCATGCCATTTCAAAATATGTCGCTGGATAATGATGTTTCTTTGCCTACGTGTGTTTAAGTTTTGTGAGGGCTGTTCGCGATTGTTTTGCTTTGAATAAAGTTAGCTTCAGGCATCTGATATGCCGGGGGACTACGTATTGGAAGTAATTCAAATCTACACTCCCGGACTCATTTGTGTTGAAGACTTGCTGCCTCATGTGTCCCTCTCAATGTTGGGCTTTAAGACGGCATAGAAGCATTTGGAATTAACAACTTTGGCAAAGGGGAAGGGGCGAGAGAAGATCGTAGCCGTCGTTCCTCTGAAGAAGTGTCCCTACCGATATGTCTGGTAGTGACGCTTATTTATCAATTTATATTCACTGCACAAGCGAGTGTTTAACCCATAAATGGTCACCGGTCAGTTGCTTCTATCTTAAGCGACTCTTGACAAAACCTAGACTTCTTTATTTATCATCCTAGTTGAATTACGGCTAGGAGAATCCCTTCTGCTGTCAAATGTTTGTAAGCGTTTATATGAAGAAAAGAAGTTAAACCAGGCCAGTCCCTCTTTCAGGGTATACCTTGTAGAAATCTGGTTGGGTATAAAACTCATTCAATTTTTCGTATGGATAAGCTATTCAGGGTAGGTACGTTCTCTCCAATAACATTGTCTGAATCGCTTCTCCTTTTTAATTTAACCAGTTTGAACTAATCACGAACCACCATTTTGTCGTACTGGACTTGCTTAGGGTGCGATTTGTCCCCTTGATGTTTAGGTCTTTGATCGGTTCTTTAACCCTTTACTCCCTAACATCAGAATGCATATTCTGCATACCGTTCTCAATATATTTCCTAAGGTGATGACAAGGAGAATTTGTTTAACAATCAAGAGCTTCTTTAGTCAGTGATCATTTTCTTTATTCTCGTGACCTTGATATGTGATTCAGGGGTGATACAGCAAGGAGAAATTAGATGCTTATCACTCTTAGGGCGTAATGGGTTAAAGACTGACGCGGGGCAGTCTCAAAGCAAACCTCGTGTTAGTACAGAAGGACAATCCGGGTTTCGGTCAATTTATAATTATCAGCCTTAAGCACTTATTTTGGACAGTTCTGCCGAAGTGTCAAATCGGCCCATGTTCACGAGAGGAGAATTGAAGTAAATAGCGACCGAATAGCGCTGCAAGACGCTTCCCTGCCCGTGGGAAGATTTAGAGCGAGTCGAGGAGAGTTGGCCGTGGGTTCTGGCATCCATTATCAGCACTGGACACCTCACAGACCTCTCCCTAGCTCTCCTCGCTAAACGCTCTTTCCAGCGATCAAAGAAATGCCGCTTCCGATAAATTTGCCGATGCAATGCTCTTACATTGTGTGCATCTAACGCGTGGAGAAGTGGGGAAGGAGGCTAATTCTCTGATTTGAGTCAAACATTGTGTCAAACGTTGTTCATATTTTCTTTTCCTTTTATTTTCACAGCTAGTAACCAGAGATGATGTTTCGTAAAGTACAGAAGCTGTTCCTACTGTCCCTGTTTGTTTCAATAGCAATTATTGTCCGTGAATTTTTTAAAATTGAATACTTACGCCTCGTGAAACTAGCCGACTTTAGCCAAGATCAGTTAACACATGATCAGTTACCACTTGATCGATTAACAGCTGATAGATTAACACGTTCATCAAGTGACCGTGAAAGTTTTTTCACTGACTGGTGCCGACTTCAGCGGTCGAGTGTGGACTGGGAAGTATTGTCGGGAAGCTGTCATGACAAAATGGCTTGGACACAGCGTGAGTCCTCTTCAAAAAACAGAACAGACCCTGATAAGAGTTTTATCTTAAAGAAGGAAGTAAAAGCTCAAGGTAAACAGATATAAACACACCTTTCTGAGAAGCTGATTAATTTTGTAACTGTTTGGATGCTTTCAAGAATGTGAGTGTGAAAAGAGGCATTGGGTTGCAAGCAGGTTTTTATTTCTCTTTATTTATTCCATTGTTATTTGCTGTCATCATCTTCGTGCTTTCAAAAATGACAAGAAGAAATCGGTTCAACAACTGAAGATTTAAAAGAAGCATTTCATTTCCCCAGGGGAAAAAAATGGTCCGTTGTAAATTGCTTCCATAATGATGCCTACGAATATTACGCTTAAGTTTTCCAGTGTAAAATTCAGTCCTTTACACAAATGTTAAATTATTTTAAATTGGATACACTGTAGATTGTATGTACGATTTTTGTATAGTAGAACCCGAAACCCAACATAATTTTTTCCAAAGCCTTTTTCCACTGTCACTCTGGCAGGATTTTGAGCAGGATTACTCGACCATCACAAAGCAGCAGATAACACTCAACTCAAGGTTTAATAATATGATCCTCTTGCCTCTTCCTCAACTATTTGATTTATTATTGAAAAAATATATTTGTGAGATTGCAAAAAGACCAAAGTATCTCCAACTGTTAATCGTTTAGATTTAATAAACTCCTGACACGAAACTGAAAAATGCATTACAACTAAAAACAACAACTTAACTAGATTTTTCACATATATAAGATCCATAAAGCCAATATAAACATTGTACTAGCAGTTTTTTATTTCTTTTTTTCTTTTTATTTTCTTAACAAGTAGTGAGAAGCTCTTAAAAATTTAAATAATTGTGATGGTTATGATTATAGAAAAATTAATGATGATTATACTAGAAATAATTTTAATGCAAATTATAATAATGATAAAAAAAATGATGATTAAAATAATGATATCATTAATGATTATGTTGATAATAATAAACTCAAAGCATTTTGATTTGGCGTCGCTAAATTTACTCTCAATACTTTTCAGGCGAATTTAGTCGCTTCTTTATCCAGTCCGTGACCAAAAGTGGCCAGCTTAAGGAGACTGGAGGAGATTCGTGGAGAGTTCACATCAGACAAGGTCCAGCATCCTTAACACCGATCGTGGTCGACCATAATGATGGAACATACGAGGTTCTGTTTCTTGCACTGGAGCCTGGGAATTACTCGGTCCAGGCTATTCTGGATTTCACGCTTTGCGATGGCTTTAGAGATCCACCGGAGGATTGGTACATAAAAGGTTCTCTTTTTATATGTAAATTCAGCATCGCAACTGGCAGTTGTTGATGTGGGAATTTCGTTCTAAAGGTCTTGCGGTTCATTGACAAAATGAAATAACAAAATCACTTCCACGCCTTTTCTCCTTTTTTCTTAAGGTGACATTCAAGGCCACAAACAGGAGACTGGTATCCTGGGAGATATTGACCATGATTTTATTGAAGCACCGCTTCAAAGTGGAAAGCCGATCGAGTTTTATATCAAAGAGTGCAATAAAACAAAAGGTAATGATGTGAATGATTTTTACCAAGAAAATAATTTGCTTACTGCAACTTTTTTTTAGCAACATAAGAGAGCAATATTTTCAGAAAATAATCATTAACCCGAACATCAGTATGCATATTCTCCATACTGTTCTCAATACATTTCCTAAGATGCCGACAAGGAGAATTTGTTCAACAATCAAGAGCTTCTTTAGTTGCGGATCATTTCCTATGTTCTCGTAACCTTCATTTCTTGATTCAGGGGTGATATTGTGGGGAGAAATTGGATGCTAGTCGCTCCTAGGATGTCGAACCTTCAGGAAATGAAAAGTCTGCACTCTAATGCTCCATCAGCGAGTCACAGTGTATTGTAAATTTAGCTAGGCCGTTACTTTAACGTACTATGTACAGGTTTCTTCAAGTACATCCAGCCATTTCTAAGTCAATCAAGTAAAGAAAGTTTCTCCCAGTCGTCGTGTGACTTTAACTGCTCCTTGGTGTGGAATGGCTTTGGGCGATGGGTCAACAGCATTTGGAAACAATACATGCCTGAAGGTTAGCGAACTTAGTAATAAAATTAATGAATTAATAATGTTAATATTTCCTAAACGTTGATGTCAGTTCATGTTCGATGCTTAAAAAGTTTGCTTGCGACGTAAGTTACCACCAGAACTTTTTTCAGGTCTCCTCAACAACATCCTACAAAACACTAGGGTATGCGAACAATCTTCAAACTATTGCATCGAGAAGAAAGAAATTATTTTGGGTCTCCCCATTCCAAACTATGGTCTGATTATTTGAACCGTTTTTCAGCAAAACCGCGTCCCAAACAATCATCAATTTAGCCGAACCTTTCATATGAACAGTTACATTTGCGAACAGTGTCAAGAGGGCCAAAAGCTAACAGTAGAAGGACATTTTTTTAATGAAATCAACCCTCTTATAGGGAGAGCCTGAGGCCCACTGACTGCGTTAAACTGTGGTTTGGGTTGGACTTCGTGTAAATAAGCGGCTCATATGTGTTTATTTCTTTTTTTTTTTTATCAGAGATGCAAAAGGCACAATATGCGGAAAAACGTGTGAAGAGAAAATTAGATGATCTAATGTTTTATGGGGATTCCACAAACGTGCATTTCCATTCTCTTGCAAAGAAAAGTCAGCTTTGTAAAAAAATGTTTCATACCTGTGGGAAGAAGTACATGTGGAATTATGATGTGAGTGGAAAGAAACTCTTCCTTATTTATAACTTGCTTATGAAAAGTCTTTCGTTTGTTGATTTGAATTTGGGATCAATCCTCTTGAAGCAGAACCTCGAAAAAGTTGTACGAACTAAATAATGAAAATTGACACCGAAACACTCTCTTCGTTTAGAAGATTATAGCAAAAACATCACTCTAATTGGGCGTATTACCAGTTTTTTTGGTTGTTTATTACCAACTTGTAGTTGATAATACATTTAAACTAAGTTCTATTTTCTGCTCTCGACTTTTTTGTTTACTTTGTTTGTTTCGTTAATGAAACAGTATCTACCTTGGGAACATTATTTTTGCAAATTTGAAATTAGTGATGGTAATGGACTGGGTGGGATCCAACTTGGTCTGAGATCCTTTGAATGATTCACGAAAACGGACGACCGCAAAGCGGGAGTCGACTTGTTTATTACGAGTATAATTACAGGTAGAATTGGACGCCACGAAATTTTCTTCCCTCTTAGTCAAAACTAGCCCTCGGTTATACTTTTAATAAAAAAACAATAGTTAACTCGACGATATTCTTGACAACAGCGTACGCAAACGAAGGGTACTGTCCAATAACAGATGCATGATATACAGACTGTCGAATTACACAGTCCAATTATAAGCTTGACGCTTATACTTTTCCTACTAGTGCTCAAATCGGGCTGGTGATAACCAATCATGTTCGAAAATTTTGTAATGATTTTGATTAGCCAAAGTAGTTTTAAATGAGAAACAAATTATTAAGTTTTGTCATAGCATTTTTGTCAGCTAATCTCTCTGTTGGTAAGATTTTTTTAACGTTTCCATGACAGATTTTTGTTCACATATTCTTTTAAGGTTTTCTCTCGTGGTTTTATGAAGCATTAAAAAGGAAGACGCGAGCGCTCGTTGTGTATCTTTGCAGGTCTCCTGGAAAGGAAGCGATGATAAAGATTTCAACCAGACTATTGTCCATGAGGAGATCCAAAAAGTCTTGGACAGCCATGACATGAGAGGGAATCAAAGCGTTTTCTTTTTTAACGTCGGTATACATTACTCACTACCGCTGAACTTTACAGCTTACCAAATGCTGATTGATAGCATTATCAAGATACTAAGGAGGGACACTGATACTGAGAATGAAGGTGCGTTGAAAAGCCGGGCACTTTTCATTTGGCGAAGCAACGCAGCTGTAGAGGCGAAGGGTTTTGAAGACTTTTTCTCGCAAGTGAACTATACCGAATGGAGATTCTATACCAATCAGGTAATAATACAAGTTGAAATATTAAATGCCTTCATCGCAAACGTAATCAAGTCTTTTGCTGACCGGTGAAAGGACGTATTTGTAAGCGCACGGGTCAAGCAAATGTACTAAGAAACACTCATTAGAAAACTTTGTAACGTACGGAGACCAGTCTTCGCAATCTTCATTTATCCAGGGGGGGGGGACTTGATGGGGATCAGTAGTCGTCAGCATAGTATAAAAGGGGGGGTACCATAGAAAATTGATTGCCAATTAAGTGACAATGAGAGGGGAATAATAAGAATATTATAGAATCTGTCTAGGGGGTATCTGGTAAATTTTACCGTGACACCGTGACCAAAATCTTCCGAACTCCTCCCCCCACCTCACCCCAGGTGGTCTACGATGACTGGTCTCTAAACTGGGGATACACATTCAAGACGATTGCGTCAGTGAATGTTTGGCGTGTAAAACGATGGATGATTGGCATGTGCACCCCAATTTTTTTTTCCCATTTGTTTCAACTTCGTCTTTCAGAGGACTTTGTGATAGAATGCTAACTAACACTTGACATCAAAAACTTTGCCATAACAACTGAAAAATCATGGGGTTAAGGATTGCGACAATGTCTGTTACGTACACAAACTATGAATGTTTCAAATTTTTCTATAGTATTTTGCCTAATTTGTCTCATCTCTTCCTTGCTTGCCTACTTTTTCTACGATTCAGAGGAATCAGCTGTTCCATACTTATGCTACAGATGCTATGTGTAAGGCTGGAATCCCTGTTATCCCTATATTTACCCGATGACCACTACTTGGCCTGAAGGCACCCGTGATTCCATGCACTACAACGATAAACCATTGGAGCCGGCAGTTACAGCTTTGGAACGATTTCTTACTGAAGCATCAATGAGATAATAGAGTTCTTCTGTGTTGCCTTATATACCGTGAGAAAAATAGGATCGTACTCTTATCTTCTCTTAGAGAGGATCATTGCTTTAGTTAAGCCATAACTCTCTTGTTAAGATGTTTCTTTGCCTTTTCATTAATACAAATATATTAATTTTTATCCACTCAAAAGGTGTTTTCTTACAGTTGTACAATAGCTTGCACATCTTTCCTCGCATTCAAGTCATCTTAGTCCAATAGTAATCATCGTCTTTTCCTTAATGCATTAAATCCGTTCATTTTCAAGCTATATTCTCGAATACAATGTTGAGGTTTGCCCAGGAACTGGCATAGACATTTCATACCTGTTAGCCTTAGCTTGCTTAAAAAGTCATCTCGATGCGCCTCCTTATTGTGTTCTTAGTATGCAATAGGCCCTCTACTAACATGATACAGTTGTCTCCTAACGAGAATCACGTGCAAGTAGTTTCATATTTAATTTGTTCGGTGACTATTGCTGGATTTCTGTAGGTGGAATGTTCAGCTGTCTTCTTGTGGAATGTTCAGCTGTCTCTATAACATATGCTATACAAGCCAACACATCTCCCTTTTTTGATCGCACAAAGGATATCTCTAAAGTAATAATACCATAAGATTTAAGAGTAAATGTCAGTGAAAATCAAGGAAAATTCAAAAAACGTGGCCACGGTCAAAAAATCGATTTCGCTCATACTTTGTCAGTTTGAAGGCCTAGGTAAGTAACTGAAGGATATGAGGTTAGTTTTTTGAAATATTCCATATAACGGCAGAAAACCACGAAAAACGGTCACCCTACCGGAAGCTCGGATTTCACCTGGCGGAAACTCGAAATTTTACACTTTTCAGCTTCTCGCTACACAGACGTTTACACAGCTGTGAATCTTTCTTAAGTATAATTGAATACATTGATTCTTCCTTAGTCAAACCATGGGAATTATTTTTATCTCTGCTTATGAACGCTGATCAAAATTCGATAAAATTTCAATTGAGCGCCTTTGAAATCTACAACTCTACATAACAAAGCACTATTGAATAAATTAACTCCTCGGCCAAAGTTTGTACATAAAACATAAGGGTTTTGCTTTTTTAGCGGTTTGAAGCGTTTTAAAATATATATTAATGTTAAATATTGTCTACACAGGTAAAACAAACTATGAAACACCAAAATTACCACGAGCTGAAATTAAATCTCACAGGCTCGCTCCCTAATCTGCGTCACGCACGAGCGACTTAGCTACAATTAGTACAGTAACAAACAGATATTTACATCCGTTGATTTTAAATAAGTCGTATTTTTAAAATCTTACTCAAAGATATGCCAGGTTTCCCAGTTAACTTGCTGAAAAAAAAAAGAAAACCTTAATAGTAATTCTAGCTCAATTAGAATTGATTTTATTTAGTATGAGAAGTTTTGTGCCGTCGAAAACCAATCGGAAGTAACTGTTTCCACGAAAAGCAAATATTGCATCGTTCTCTAAATTAACAAATCTACTTAACCATATAACCAGAGTATGTTGTTGGCGAAGTTAATAGACATACATAACAACGACGTCTTGCTCGTTCTTGAATATTGTCGGTGGGATTTGCGGCGCAGACGAACGCACTTGCTAAGTAACTTCCAATGGCTAATTTCTACCCTTACTCAGCTTTCGTCACACTGCTCACGCTGTGTAACAAGGATATAAAACATTGCACGAAGTCCTAAAAAACTCTCCGGACTTGAACCAGAATTGATTTTAGCAAGATTGCGTGTTTTTAAAAGCCAACGAGTTTATTGGAGATGACTACCCGTACCGTCTCATCGTGTCACTTAGGCATAACCTGACACGATGTCGATAGTTTCGACTCCTGATGGCCGAGAGCACTCGGATTTCTTTTTTTCCGAGTACGCCTGGGTCACATACTGAATAATACATCATTCTCATTTATTCACCAGGCTTAAAAATATTCCATCACATTTATTCCATTGCGCGTATGCCACACATGACATTCCAATCCTAGCAGTATGCAGGATGTTTGTCCCACGAAGCACTCGGATTTTTTTTCCGATTATGCCTGTGTCACTTACTGAGTAATACATCATGTTCAAAAGTATTAATCTTTGCACCATACAGGAAGTTGTTTCGGGTCACTCAGCAAGAGCTGTGAAAAGTAGCCGCACGGGAATAGGAATATATTTTTTCCAATCCATGAAGATATTTGACCTTTCAAAATAGCTCGTCCCTATGGGCTCAGGTAAATAACAACTAAAAAATGTACTACCAAGCAGGAACTGTCTCCAATGAGTTTTGTATCCTCTTCATTGTGTTGTCCAATGCGACTATTAAAAACACTATGAGTTTTACGACTTGCATGTTTTATTGATTGCGCTTGTCAAACAACACTACAGTCTGTCATTGATAGAGAAAATAAAGTTTAATTTTGACAATATTCGATGAAAAATACTAAGAATTTTCCAAAGAGGGCACCGAAGAATAAATAATGTGCACTGTCATTTTTACGACATTTAAAAAGGAGGGAAGGAGGGAAAGGATTTAACAACCATACTACTCTCTCTCCCCAACCACCCACAAAGTGCACAGTTTGCACAGTATACTAGTGGAAACGTCACATCAACATTTATATGTTTACGTTTAATAGCACAATTACGGTCGTTGCATCACTCCAATATGGCCATTTCCCCACAAAACTATATTTAAGTAGATCTTTGATCAATCTTGTACGTCAAGCTTTGTTACTTTGAATTTTTCTTGGCTTCTTGCGGAGACAATTTCAAACTTTTTAGCCCTAAAACTTTGAATGGATATACAACTGTAATTAGCTTACATTACGTGACTGGTTGGCTGGTTTAATTCTGTGGCCACCCTACTTACACAATCTAAATGGCTAACACCCACGTAATCTAAATTTAGATCATGGGGTTCAAGCCGTCCTAAATGATCATCTAAGTCTTCCCAGTAGCTCATTAGATATGCATAAACATTTCGACCAATCGGATCCTTCACTCTTCGGTGGACGAGCCAAGGTGATCGCTACGAAATGCGTCGGTTAAAGCCCGTTTTCTTAGATGTGAAGAATATTGGGCGCGATGGAAAGAAAACCACCGTATCGATTCTGCTGAGAGTGGATCTTGGGAAGCAGCCTGATAAGAGTACGGAGGAAAATAGTCAGGACACCAACAGTCCAGTAGAACAAGATGTCCCTCTTGGCGATCTCGATAAGCAGGAACTCTCAACTCAACAGCAAAATCGCGTTTTGAGTATCTCTGCTAACTGGGAAAAGGTACGGGAAAAGTTGCTGAATTCGTACATTGAAGAACAGCATCTCCCAGACAATGTGAACTGTGTGAACTGTCAAAAGAGTATCGCTACAACAAGATGTGAGTACTGTGGCCCTCGCCAGTACTTTTGTGTTGGATGTGCACGAGCTCTACATGTCAATCGAAACAAGTTTCATGTTCTTGAGCAATGGAAGGTGTGTATGAATATTTTGGGGCCAGTTGTATTCTAGCTACTTTTAGTGAAACATATCTAGTTAAACTGTACTTTTATCTACTTCTAATGCTTTCTTTATTTTAATAGGATGGGGTATTTTCTCCTTTGTATGCAGACGAGGCAACTGTTAGCTATGGCCATACGTGCAGAACCGCAGCAGTAAAGCTGTTCAGACTTCTGGATGCCTCAGGTCAGTTCATTTCATTTATAGTGGTTGGAGAATACTAGAATGGTTTAAAAACGAAGCGTTCTTTTTCAATTTTATCTGTTCCTTTTTCACATTTTCCTGCCGCTTGCCTAAAATCAAGAACGCTAATCATCTTAATGATAATGATACGATTTAATTTCTCTCATCATGTCAGGGCCAGTAACTAAAATCAAACAATCAGATTGCCCCATTGCCTGTCCAATATTTTCTAAGTATTGGACCGGGTAATGTCCTGAATGATCCCACATGCAATTAAGTTTTTTAATGGCTTGCCAAAGAGAAACAATAAACTTGGCTTGCATCTATCTGTAAGAATCTTTTCTGTCATGCTGGGAGAATATTGGCCCTTGGACTTTTCTGTACAGACCTCGCTGCACTTGGTTTGTACTGTCAAGACCTTGGGCCAATATTCTCTTAGTATGGCCCTTGCACTTGGTTAATAAGGTGTCTATACAGCCCTCAACAAAGTAAGAGGTATTTAAAGCTGTATGTAATGTTTTTTTTTCATTTTGTTTACTTAACTTCTTAAGTTGTTCATTTATTTTTCTATGAATGTCAGGAAATCATCACCTCAAATATGTACAAGTGTGTGATTGTGAGCCGCATGCTGTCACACTCTTGAAATGCCAGTTCTGGCCAGGGTCACTAGCAAATCCCACCACAGGATTCAGCTTCAAACTGATGGAGTTTGTGGAGAAGGTCTTTCTTCATTGTCAAGTGTCCCTGCTAAACATCACAGAAGTGATCACAGAACTCAATCCTCAGCTACAGCCAACACATGTAGGTTTGCTCACAAACAGTCTTTTTGAGACATGACATGACTTTTTTTAATTGATTGATTCTGGTTGAATGGTATGTTTTTTTTTAGGTGAGCTCAATTTACAGTATCCTTAATTCAGAATGCTTTGAAGAATTCAGGTATGTTTGCATATAGGTTGAGAATATCAGAGCTGCTAATTTGTGGATGTACAATGTCTTTTAAGGTATTATTGATATTAGAATTAATATTATTTTTACTATTATTATTGTTGTTGTTCTTGTTATATTAGTA